CTTGGCGATCGTACGACCCATGGGTCGGGAGCTGCATTTCGGGCGGCATACAGCCTTGGATAGCAAGATAATAGTTGAGTATTCCTAGAAATGCAGCACATATGGGATCTGACTTCTGGCGTTAGTTTGCTTAAGTGACGTCAACCGCTATCAAGAGGATTCATGCCGCATGCCTGAACCCTTCACCGTCTTTCATCCAGGAAATCAACCTTTCAAGTGATATAGCGGCTTCCCCTTCGATCTACTGTACAAGCTTACGCTCACTTTGCAACAATGGATACAGGCTAAGGGTGCAACGTTGAAACCAAGTAGCCTCCCAGCGCGCCTGAGAGATTGTCAAAGCACATCACACAGAGCAAAATGGTCCGGAGAAAGCGGACAGCTCACACGGCTCTTCAGCAAGAGCCTCAGCGGCGCTCAGCCCGCAGTTCCGATAATGACTCACAGCCACCACCAGCAAAGAAGCAGGTGACTGGTGCAGCCGCGACCCGCGCAATAGCAGCAGCCGCAGCAGCTTCTCAGCCCGGCACTTCCTCTGCAACAACGTTAGCAGCTAAGGCGGCAGGGGCAGGTCCTTCTTCGCGCCCGGATCGAGCGCTACGCAGCAAAGGCCCGGCTCCTCCTCCTTCACCGCTTCCCTCAAAGTCTCCAGCAGCTGCAAAAAAGCCTGCCAACAGCGATCATCGGCAACAACAAAAGCAACAAGAGAAGCAGCAGCAGCAGCCTCGCGCTCTGCGCAGCCTTCCGAGCAGGGCCGCTCACAATGGCCTTGCTCCAGCTGCGGCATCTGGACCTTCTGGGTCCGCAGCCGCAACAGCAGCTGCTGGTGCGCCTCCAAAAGCAGCACAAAAACGTAAAAGGGCCGAAGACCAGGCGCCACAAGATGCGCCGGGCAGCAAAAGCGCGCGCGGAGGCGACGGCGGGCCGGGCCCGAGCACCTCTAGGCGGCTACGGAGCAGCCAGCAGCAGCAGCAGCAACAAGGACAACCCCAACAACAGCAAGCGAGCGGAGGAGGAAATGAGCTAATCGGTTTGGAGCTGTCCGTCCCGCTTGCGGAACTGTACGGCGCAAAATCGTACGGCAAGCAACACGGGAAGGCTTTCGTCAAGGTGAAGCCAGCGTTCATTGTGCATGGGTGATAAGTAAGTCTTCGACCGTGTAGCACCGACGTATGTCTGCAATGTCCCTGGCGACTTCCTAACCCCGAAACCCGCAACCCACTTCTCCCCGCCCGGCCCCCTTAGAAGTTGTAACCTCACGCATCCTCCTTCTCCCCGTTTTCCCACAGGCGCGCGATCCCTCGCGCCCCGGGCACCTGCTCATCGCCACGGCGGATGACCGGCGGCGCAGCTACTGCCAGCCGGAGGAGGCCGTACGGCGCTGGCTGCTGCCGGGGCAGCTGGAACCGGAGGGGGAGGAGGAGGAGAGCGGGGAGGAGGAGGAGGAAGAGAGCGGGGAGGATAGCGGGGAGGAGGAGGAGGAGGCGGATGAGGAGGAGGGCGAGGAAAGTGAGGAAGAGGAGGGAGGAGGTGCAGCATCGTCGTCACAGGAGGAGGAGGAGGAAGAAGAGGAGGAGGAGGAGGACGAGGAGGACGAGGAAGAGGAGCAGCAGCAGCAGCAGCCGGAGGAGGAGGAGGCTGCGGACGGTAGGCGACGCTCCACCCGTCGCGCCCAGGCAGCCCAACCCAACAAGTCAGGCAGGGCGTCCGGCGCCGCCGCGGCGGCCGCTCTGTCCCGCCGCGCCCACGCCACCACGGCAGCGGCGGGGGCCCCTCAGCAGCAGCAGCAGCAGCAGCCCCGCACGGGCCCGGCTAGGGTCACACGGCGCACGGTGGCAGCAGCAGCTGCCGCCGCCGACGGCGCCGGCCCCTCTTCCGCCGCTCCAAGCGGCACTCGCCACGCCCGCGACGGGGGCGGCGGCGGCGGCAGTGGCGACCGCCGGGGCGCTCCTACTGCGGCGGCAGCGCATCACAGCACTCCTGCTGGCGGCGCTGGGCCCTCCACCGCCGCCCCTGCCGCCGCCGCTGCCCCTGCCGCTGGCCCCCTGCTACGGTAGCACGGCTAGTGCTTCCACGCTGCCGCACGAAGCGGCCCAATAAACGCAATCTATAGGAGCCTCCGCACCCTCTCCCAGCAGGTAGCGCAGCGCCTCCCCATTGCCGTGTTCGGCTGCCGCCAGAGTCACGGGATGTCTCCCGAAGTTGTCCTCTGCAAACAGGAATGGGTAGCCCCGCTTTTGCAGCCACCTGAGTCGATCCAGAGCGTCTGGGCAGGAGGCGGCGCCCCAGCAAGCCACTGAGCCAGTAGGAAAGCCCTGCTCCTCCAGCCATAGCAGCTTGGCCTGCCAGTCGGGGGTGGGGCTGCTGGTCGCGGCTTCACGTAGGGCAGGGACCATGTATTGGTGGCTGCAGGGGCTGGACACCTGCATGCGGTGGTCTGGCTGGTGGAGGAGGTGTTGTGGCCAGCAGGGGATCTGCTGCTGGATGCGAAACTGTTCCGCACTGTGGCTCTGCTAGGCAACCTGGAGCAGATGCGGTGGCTGCGTGAGCGGGGCTGCCCCTGGGGCCCGAAGGTCTTCACAGCGGCTGCCAAGGCAGGGTGTGAGGAGGCACTAGAGTGGCTGGCAGAGCAGGGCTGTCCCAGGCCGGTGAGTGCCGTGCAAACTGACGTCTAAGAAGTCAGGAAGGTGTGAACGGCTGACATCGCTGGGTTAATAGTATTAGGTATCAGGTAGTAAAATGGATTGCTTGCAATCAACCATACATCAGTCAAGGGACCAGCTCTCTGTGTATCGTTTGCCCCACCGTTTACCGCATTTGTCCTCTGCCCCTGCAAACTCTCATCAGCACAGCACTCACAGTTGCGCGTGAGCCACATGCCTCAGGGCGACGGCTCCCCCTACCTGGCGGCTGCGATGAACACCGACCTGCTCACCCTGGCCTGCCTGAGGCGGCTTGGCTGCCCCTGGTGCCCACCAGGGCGGCTCTTCAAGTACTGCCTCAGGCGGCGCTGCAGTGACAGGGTGCTGAGTTGGCTGCGTGCGGCAGGATATGCCATGGACACAGCGGCGGCTCGGAAGGTCATGCAGCGGGTGCTTCGTGAAGATGATGTGGGTGACCCACGGGTCAGGATGCTGTGGGCATGGCTTCATGAGAACCTGGGGCTGCAGCCGCCCCCGCAGGGCGCGTGAGGAGGTGGCCGGGGGGCCCTGGGCTGGTGTGACGAGTGATATGTGTGGTTGGGGTGCGCTGTACATGTGCCGCCGTACTGCCTTGCATCGTGCATGGCATGCATACGTTTTTAGGGCGGAGGAGGACTGTCGTACAGCGGAAAGGATTCTACAGTAGTTGGTTTGGGCTGGGGTTAAAGGGCACGACCTAACAAGGTTCGGTGCAGGAGTTGGCTGTCGCTACCGTGCTTCTAAATCAGTGTGTTTGGATGCGCGTCCAGATACCGCAGATCAACATGTTGCCCAGCCATTGTTGTCTGTTGTGGAAAGGGTTGTCAGGACTGAGACAATCAAGGGGACAGCAGCAGGTACGCATGTAACCAAGACAGCCATGTTCGCGTCTTCGTTTCCTTACCACTAGCAGCCCCGAGGGGGCAAACCACTGCTAGTCCAGTCCTTAGGTTGCAATACATCACACCCCACAACTGTCTGTGCGTGAGGCAACATGAGCTGTCGCAGCTGCTACCAATCGCCGATCTAGCTGGCCAGATTCGCCACACAATGGTGCCGTACCCTCCCACCGGCAGCGCCCCTCCTGCCCACGCAGCTACTCACACCACCAAATGCCGGAGGATATGATACGGCCTGGCTCTTGTGGTCACCTATTAGGCACGACTGGACCTACACGCATAAATAGCATGTAGAAGGCTCGCCAATTTAGCAACATCAATACTCCACATAATATAAGCCATATCTGCATCAGTGGGGTTCGGCACATCAGGAAAACCAACAGCAACTCTCAAAGGTGCGTAACGTGCGCATTCCATCCGAAGGACATGGAACTCATCCTCCGCAACGTTCGCATCACATAAACGGCATAAACGCTGTTCTCTAGCTGTAACCTGGTAACGCGCTGTGGCCCGTTACCAGGGCGATTCAATTGTCATGTGGCATGAAGTCCGCCGTACGGCCAGGAATTGCGATCGGCGCATTCCCCGCGCTCATCTATTCTTAAATTATCCCGGGCCTCTGTACTGTTTGCATTATATTTATTTGGTTGCTTACGGATTACCGTCATATTCATTATGGAAGGCGAGGTTCCTGCCGCTGCTGTTCCCGCCTCACCGGCCCCTGGCTTGTCGGAAGACAACGACGCCGATTGTACTAGAATTCCTGACCAGGACAAAGGAGGCGCAGCAGGAAGAGTAGCGGGAGGTAGCGCTCGCGGCGCGTCTGACCTAGCCCCCGCCGACCTAGCCCCCGCCGACCTAGCCCCCGCCGACCGCCGCTGGCGGTACGTCCAGCGCTACAAACCCCCACCCCCCAGCTGTTAAGCACAAGGGCACTCCCACCCGCCCTCTGCCCCTCGCCTCTCTCCATGCCTCTTCACGCCGCAGCCTGCAAGCTGCCCCCCGCCCCCGCCCCCGCTGCCCCGTTCAGCCCCCCCTCCTCACCGCCGCCCCCCACAACCACATGCCCGTTACCCGCCACCCCCACCTGGTGATGCTGCCCGTTCCCATTCCCATTCCCATTCCCTGCCAACGCTGCTGTTGCTGCTCACGTTGTGTGATGATGGTGCCCGTTCAGACAGCTGACCCCATTCAGCCTCGACCCCTCCCCAGCCACAATCCCGGACGCCGACGCATGGCCCCCATTCAACCCGCTCCCCGCTCCCACTCCCCCCGCCCCCGCCCCCGCCTGCGTACCCGGCTCCTGCATCAACGTCTCCAGCGGCAGCTCATGCAGCTCATCCATGGAGCTCTCCCCCACCGACATCATGGACTCGTGCACGCTGCTGGCGTGGCCGTAGTTGTTGACACGCGACAGGGTGGCCCCGGCGCGGAGCCAGGCGTGGCTGATCACCATGTAGACGGCGACCATGGCGGGCAGCTGGCCGGCGATGGCGCCGCCGCAGAGCAGCAGTAACACCTGGGGCAGGGGGGGAGGAGGGAGGGAGGGGGTTCAAAGACCGCATGGCAAATAGGAAGCTACAGGTTAGGGCGCAGCAGTGGGGATAGGAATCGACAGGAGGGAGGGAGCGAGGCAAGGAGGAGAGGTGGGCGGGACCCGGTGAAGGTGTGAGGGCTTTGAGCGCGCTGGAAAGGAGCGCGGTTCCCGAGCTCTGATGTAGCAGTAATCCCTCGCCTGGAGCTAATCCCCCCTCTCGCTACACTTATCACTTATCATTCATCCCCCCCGCCCCCTGTGTCCCCCACCCCCCCACCCGCTCCCCCACCTGTGTCCCCCACCCCACCCACCCCCCACCTGTTGCAGCACGCTGCCTCCGCTCTTTCCCGCCTGACTGCCCACCACATCGATCGCCGCCTTGCCCTTGGTGCGCCCCTCCTCGTCCAGCGAGATGTACACCATCTCCTCAGCCGGCTTGAACAGCGAGAACTTGGCGCTCTTGGAGAAGACGTACAGCAACGCGCCGCCGTACACCAGGATCTGCAGTACGGCAGTGCTGGCGGCGGTGGCGACGGCGGCGGTGGAGGCGCCTGGGTGGGAGGCGAGGGGGGGAGTGGGGGTGTTGGAGTGGTGAAGGGAGAAGGGAGTGAGCAATCTGCATGCCAACTCGAGCTTTGGGTTGTTTCTCCTGTCCTAATGGACGCAATCCCCACCCTTTCGCCTCCCTCCCGCTAGCGCACTTCTTTTACTAACGTAAATCCTTGCATAAACCCTCCCTCCCTCCTTTCCATACTATCGATGGCAGTATGGCAATTCGTCTTCCCTTCGCCTCGCCTCCCTCCCTCTGCCCCCTCCCTCCCTCCCTCCCTACCCCCCTCACCCGGAGTCAGCAAGAACTGGTATGCGATGGCGCTTGCGAAGAAGAACCCGCCGCCGTACAGCAGGATCTGGGGGGTTGCCGCCGCCACACCCGACCAGCCCATGCGCTCGAACATGGTGGGGGAGAGAACCATCAGCAGACCTGGAGGGGTGGAGGGTGGTGTGGGGGGTAGGGGTTGGTGGGGTAGGCAAAAATGAAAAGTAAGTGAAGCAACCGGAGTCCCAATCCCACATAGAGTAGAGTAAAGGGATTAGATAAACTGAGCCGCGGAAACACTGACTAATGGGAGGGGATACGGTTGGGGGGGGGGATTAGATAAACTGAGCCGCGGAAACACTGACCCTGACTGTAGGTTACCGGAAACTGTAGGGGGGGGGGGGCAGGGCGAGCGGAACGGTCCCACACAACACAACACAACACTACACTGGGAGAGTACCGCATCTGTGGAATTGAAACAATTGAGCTCCCACCCGCCCCCCACCTGCCCTCCTCCCATCGTTCATCCCTGCTCTCCCCACTCCCCTCCCACTCCCTCCCCCCCCTCCTCCACCTACCCCCCATCTCCCCCCCTCCTCCCTCCCCCTCCCTCCTCCCCTCCTCCCACCTACCCGTCACGATGCCCTGCCACGTGGACACATCCCCCAGGAAGCTGGTGAACTCTGCGGGAGTGGGGTAGAGCAGCCTGATGTGGCTTTATTGTACCTGGCGCTGCTGCAACTTTAACATGAACCACTTGTTGCTTTGTAGCGCTCAACGGTGGAAGCTTTTAAGTACGGCACGGTTCGAAGCGAGAAGGCGCCTGGCCGGCGCTTTTCAATACGCCTCCTAGGTAAAAGCCTCACTTTCTTTGCAAAGTTCCCAATGTGAACGAAATCTGAGGCCGAAACGGGTTTGCGCCTCATGCGGCTTCACTGAATATAATACTCAAAATCCTAATATTGCCGCCAGTATATTGGCCTCAATGTGAATGAGGCGGAATTGAATATCGTATTCACTTTCGGTTACAGCCTCACCTATTTCAGCCTCAATGTGAATGGCCCCTTACAGCCAAGCACCTCATGCCGTTCCATACTTTGTTACAGTGGCCGGACGATAACGCTGAGTTCCGCTAGGCAGACAGTAGGCTGCGACGCCCAGTATCGTTGTATTAATCACGTATCACATCATGCTCTTGCTCATGCTCTTGGGTTCATCACCCGTGTTCCCTTTTAGGGAACCATTGTAACGGTCTCTCATACTGCTGCTGCGCACCCTTCAAAGCTACCAACGTCTGCGCAACAGTTAAGGGTGTTCAGCATATTGTCATGGTTAGGAGCTTGTCATGATAGCAGCCCTATGCCTATGTCCGGGGTGAAGTCTGGGTCTTGAGGCCTAGGAAGGCATGAAGTACCCTGGGTTATAATTTTGTCTTGCGTTACGGTATAGTTAAACCGCAGCGCTGCTTTTCGGGATGGAACGCTAGTACTTACTAACAATCGGGCATGACGCCCGATTGTGTGTATCAGAGCAATCTTCGGCTTGCCCAGGCTTGCCACTTGCAGTCACCAGTCACTAAATGCGGGGGCCGAAGCCCCGGGTTTCCCATGAAAGGACGTGTCTCGCTTACAATGTTGCAACTCGTCCTTGCTTGCAGCAGTGGAATTCATAGCAATAGGGGAATCACTACTCGGGATGTGTTGCAGCACCATGCCTCTCATTATAAGTCCATGAGATTCACAGGCCCTATATTGCTACCTCCCGCTCCCGCCTGTACAGCCAACCTGGACTGCCCTCCAGTCGCCCCAACACCCGCAGCCGCTCCTGCCGGCTTCCCCAACACCCCAATGCCTGTTGCCTTCCCTGTCCCGGGTGAAGTCAACCATGCGCTGGAGGCCCCGTAGGGTTGGTGCGAGGGCGGCGGCGGGTAGCCTTGGGAGGAGGCCAACCCGACACCCGCGAACTGCGAACCGCCCGGGGTGTCCATTCCGGCCCCCCTCCCACACGACCCACCACCGTAGTTGCTAGAGGTAGTCGCTGCGGCGACCAGTCCAGCAAAAGGGTCGCCTGAGGGCGCAGCCGCGTGCGGCGCCGCGCTAACCCTGCTGGCTGCATGTCCCTGCCCTTGCCCCTGCCACAGCACCCCTGACACGGATCCTATCCCTGTTCCGCTGCCTGCATCTACCGCTAAAGAACCCACTCCAGCAGCCCCTGCCCCGCCTGCCCAGGTGGCCCCAGCAGCTGCATCCCGACAGGCAGCACCCCCAGCCACACCCGCTGGAGCAGCGCCGCCATTGGAGCAGCCATGCACCATTGGCGGTTGCAGCGACCCCAAGGGCTGATTGGGACCCGATGACCCTACCGGCCAATCACTAGCACCTGCTCTGCTGCTGCCGCTGCTGCTATTGCCGCCAGCTGCAGCCCCATGGGTCTGCCACTGGGGGCCTGGCGCACCTCCGCCAAGAGCCGCGGGTAGCGACCCGGGGACGTTGGCGTTGCTGGCTGTGTTGATTGCGCCTACTGGCCGGCTGCTGGCGGCCGCAGGGGCCCTACCGCTGCCCGAGGCGGCTGCCGGGGGCGGCTCCGCTGCGGCCCAGCCTGCCGCGCCCCCGCCTGCTGCCGTACCGGCCATGGTGCTGCTGCTGCTGGTGGTGCTCCAGGTGGTGAAGGCCAGCACGCCGGCAGGCTGCGAGGGGGCGTACGGGCGACATGGGGTCGGTGTTGGGGGTCGGGGGAGTAATAATGCTTGGATGAGATATTGCAGATTGGGAGGCAGGTAGGCAGGCATGACAGTGTAGCCGGATGGAGGAGCAGCTCTTCGTGCTGACACCCCGCTACCAGCCTTCCACTCACCGCCGCCTTCACGCTACCGCTCCCACTCGCTGGTGCCGCCGCCACGTCCGCCCCACCCCCCATCACCCCGCCCGCCGCCGCCCCCATGCTCACGCCGCCGCCCGCCCTCATCCTGGCCGCCTCCTCCGCGTGCCGCACCACCCGCGACAACATTCCCTGCGGCGCTAGACACGGCGCGGCAGTGCGGGGACTTGTAAAGCGGCGAAGCGATGCAGTGCGCATAGGCTAGGCTAGACGAAACACATGTTACAGCCATGTGTGGACCGCATACAAGCCCAGCTGCCGGCGCATCACAGCGTCACACCCCCGCCGCCCACCTGCACTGCCGCACTCAGCGCCGCCAGCTGCTGCGCCGACAGTGCGGGCGCCAGCAGCTGCGGCACCAGCAGCGGCACCAGCCGCCGGGCTGCCAGCACCGCCCCCCACCCGCCCCCGCCGGCCCCCCCTGCTGCCGCCCCGCCTCCCGACCCCGCCAGCGCCCCCGCCAGTGCCGCCACCGCCAGCAGCGTGCCGCCGCTGGTGTCCACGGAGAGCAGCTGCGGGGGGAGCGGGCGGGTGGGGGGGTCAGGAGAGGTGGGGTCAAAAAGGATAAAGTGAGTGTGAGCCGGGGCCCCCCGCGGTGAGGATGCTTGGGATCAAACAGGACGCAGGCAGTCAGGCACCCTCTCACTGCCCGCCACATCCCAACCCTACCGCCTCCCTACCAAGCCGCAAGTGTTGGCCAGCGCCTCCCCTTCGGAGTGGTCCACCTGGGGAGGGAGGGGCGCGCACGACAGCAGGGGAGGAAGCGAGTGAGGACGCAGTGGGAAGCAAGCAGGAATTGCGTGCTCCCGGCATCCAGAAGGCACATCGTCAGTAGCCGCATCCTGACTGCTGCATGGCAACGGCATCATGGAGCGAGCGACTCCTAGCCGCCACCCCACTACACGCTCTCCATCCCCCTCCTCCTCTCCATCTCCTCCCCTCTCCCACCTTGTCCGCCATCCCCGCCAGTGCTGACAGGCATGCCGCCCGCACCCCGGCGCTGGTGGTGCGGGCGGCCAGGCAGCTCAGGCTGGGCAGCAGACGGGAGCGAACCTGGGGGGTGGGTGCGGGGGCGGGGGGTGAGAGGCAGGGGATGACATCAGACAGTATTGCTGGGTACCAGTGATTGCGACATAAACTGTTGGGACCTTACGGGCGGGCAGTAGTACCGTAAGACGGCAGAACGGTGAAGCGAACCAGCCCATCCGCTACCGTGGGCTGCCCCGCGTCTTATCGCCAGTACGGCTCCCATGATTGCCCCCATGCCCCCATGCTGCAGCCCTTCACCCCCTCCTTGCCCCCCTCCTACCCCACCTGCTGTGTCCGCGCGTCCAGCCGCCCACTGCCCAGCAGCGCCTGCAGCCGCGACAGCGCAGCAGCGGCCAGCCGGGGGTCCGTCGCGGCGGGGGCAGCAGCAGCAGCAGGGAGGGGCTGTGGTTGGGGCCCAGCTGGGGCGGCCGCTAGGACACCACCCCCGCTCCCACTCCCACTGGCATTTGGGGGCGCGGGTGGCGTGTCTGCCCCCGCGGCCCGCAGCAGCATGGGCAGCAGCAGGCGGTCCACGGTGGGGCTGCGGAGGGGGAGGAGGGGAGGGGGTGTGGGGCCCTCCCAGGCGGGGAAGGGGTGGTCCGACAGAGGCAGAAGCCGCGTACTGCGCTCTTATGGGGGAATGCGGATGGCGGCCGTGGGAAGGAGCGTGTGCACGGTAAACAGACCCCCCAACCCACCCACCGCACATCGCAAACCCCCGTCCCCTCTCCCCTGCACCCCCCCACTTCCCCCCCCCCGCCCCCCCGCCGCACCCGTCCATCAGCTCCGCCAGCACCTCCGCCTGCGCCACCAGCGCACCCAGCATCGCCGCCGACCCGCCCCCCGCCCCCCCAACCCCCTGCACCGCCCCCTCCGCCCCACCCGCCGCCTCCATCAGCGGCCCCAGCAGCGGCAGCACCCGGGCCTGGAAGGCGGGGCGGCCCAGGTGGGAGGCCACCGCAAGGGCCACGGGCAGGGCGGACAGACCCACGGGTCCGCCGCTGCGGACCTCCTGTGTGCGGGTGAGGAGGAAGGGAGGGGGAGAGGGGGAGGTGAAACACGGTAAGCGCTAAGACATGCGGAGACCAAAGTACAAGGGACAGGTCGAACGAACCACCACAAACTCAAGTCTCCCCCCCCCCCGCTCACCGCTCACCGCTCACCGCTCCCCCCCACCCCCCACCTGCATTAGCGGCGGCAGCACGCGGCTCTCCAGCAGCCTCCGCCCCATGCGCCGCCACAGCGCACCCTGGCCCTGCCCCCCCTGCCGCTCCCCCGCCAGGTCCGCCAGGAAGGCCAGCTTGTCACGCGGCTCGCTCTGGGGGACACAGGCAGCGGGTGGTGGAGAAGGGACAGCGGGGTCTCAGGGATACCAGCACCTGCCTGCAGGGAAGGCAGGCCACAGATGCCTGGCGGGCCCCTGCACGCCATCTCGCCCAACTCGTCAGTCCTACCCAACCCCGCCGTCTACCCTCCTCTGCCTGCCTATGCTAAACTTGCCCCCATGTGCGGTGGGATTTTCCGCCCACCAACCCCACCTGCACCATGCCCTCCAGGAACCTCAGCGCCCGCAGCCGCTCATCGCCCTCGAACCAGGCGCAGCGGGCCAGGCTGGCGGGCGGGGGGCGGGAGGCGGGGGCGGGGCTCACCAGGGACAGCAGCGGACCTGGAGTGGCGGGGTGGGGTGGGGTGGGGTGGAGGTATGGGGTGGGAAGGGCGGGAGGAGAAGGGCCAGCAGGCGCCATCAACGACAGCTGCTTCACCCGCTTCCCGTGGCTTCCGTCCATCTCACAGAAACCTCGCTCCAGCCCCCTTCTCCTTGCGCCCCCTCCTCTCGCCCCCCAAGCTCTATTAACCCCCTCCCACGCCCCACCCCGCCCCGCACCTCTCAGCTCCTGCGGCAACCGGGCTAGCTCCCCCGCCACTCCCCCTCCTCCACCTCCTCCTCCCCCTGCTGCCCCTCCCACCACCGCCGCCAGCGCCGCCAGCCTGCTGCCGTACTGCTGCACGCTGCACCGCACCGGCAGCAGCTGCGCAGGCGCCCCGGCTGCCGCACACGCGGTGCCGCTGCTGCCCCCTGCCCCCGACCACCCCCCGCCAGCCCCTGCCGCCCCTTCCACTGCTCCCCCTACTGACCCCGCCGCTGCCTCCACTGCCAGCGCCAGCTCGAAGGCCAGGGCGCCCAGACTGAACGAGTCAGCTGCGGCCCAGGAGGGGGCGGGGGCGGGGGACCAGGAGGAGCCGCCCGGGGGTACGACAAGCTCCGGGGCGGTGTACGGCAGCTGGGGCTGGGGGGGGGATTAGGAGGAGGGGGATCAAAGATCATACCGAACCATAGGGAGGGGGAGAGGGTTTGATAGGGCCGGTTGGTCTTCAGAGGAGGGGTAGCGATGAAGGACAAGGAAGGCCCCATTCCTCTTCCCCGGCCCCCCGCGCCACGCCTGCCCGTCCCCCTAGTACTCCCACCTTGGCCAGCTCCTCCCAGGGCGGTGGGAAGGGGTCGCTGTAGGAGAAGGGCGGGCAGCTGGCCCCGCCCGCACTCGCCCCGCTGCCGAGGGGCACGGCGAATGAGAAGCCCGCCAGCTTCCAGCTGCCGTCCGCTGCCACCATCACCGACTGGGGGAGGGGGGGGGCAGGAGTGGAAAGGGGGGAGGGTGGAGCGGGATAGAAGAATACCCTGTGTGTTAATGTGAGGGAAGGGGAGGGGTGAGGTGGCAGGGGTAGGATGCACACAGAAGGAACCGCCCTGGCGCCGCTGACACAAACAGCCCACTGCGTTGTGCGCCTGGTGCGTTGCCTCAACCCCACCACACACCTTCACCCACCCACCCGCCCTTCCGGGGTGTTGGGCCACCGCCTCCCTTACCCCCTTGCACCCTCACCTGCACCCTCCCCCCCCCCTCCCGTACCTGCGGCGCCACCCCGCAGTGCGCCAGTGCCGCGCTGCCGTGCAGGAAGGCCAGCACCTCCGCCAGCGCCAGCAGACCCAGCTTGGACTCCAGCGCGCACAGGGGGGGCGGGGGGGAGGGGGAGGGGGGGAAGGGGGAGGCGGCGCTGTCAGGCGGGGGCTGCAGCTGCTCCCGCAGGCAGCCGCGCACCGCTTCCGTCACCAGCACCATCTGGCATGGGGAGGAGGGAGGGAGGGAGGGGATCACTGCATCAGGCAGCATACCTTCCATGCCCGTGCATCCCGCCCTAGCCGTCTCCCCTCCAGCCAGTACGCCCCCTCCCAGCCCCCCCTCACATGTGCGGCCGTCTCCTCCAGCGGCAGCACCACCCGCACCACACCAGGGTGCTTCAGCTGCGGGGCGGGTGGGGGGAAAGGGGGGTGGGAGGTGGGGGCAGGTGAAGGAGTACGGCATGGCCGGGTAAGCTCCAGTGGTGAAGGGGCCTCCTGTCCGCCTACGCCGCAACGGCCAGCAGACCCCTCGCCTGACCCACACCTCTTAGCCCACACAGCAGCTTGGTGCAGGTTGTAGTGCAAAGCCCAACGAGGCCATGCACCGAGAGGATATGACTGGCCCCATCCACCCACCCAACCCCTGGCCATTGGTCCCCTCTCCCCCCCACCACCACTCTCCCTCATGCCAGGGCGGTTCGCACCCGCGTCATGAGCGCGCAGCCGTGCCGCTGCTGCTCCAGCACCGTCTCCCACCGCTGCAGCTGCTGGGGAGGAAAGAGGACAGACGGCCCACCACCCTGGAGCGAGACGTTATCGTTTCTATAAAGAGGGGAGGAGAGGGAAAGCACGATGAAGGTGAATGTCAGTGGACACAACAATAGACGCAATGAATGAAGCGGAATGCTGCTAGAGGCTTCCGTCCGTATACGAGTCGACGGACAGACCGTTTGTGCAATCAATACAGTGATCGTGCAACATACTGCTATCAGGTTTGGTTTGATTTAGCAAGAAAACCCAAAGTTAAGCGTCAATAGTTAACGTCACATTGCAACTTCCCATCTTCGCTGTCGTCCTTACCCTCTGTTGGCCAGCTCTCTCTTATCCAATACCCAAATGCTGACATCCTTTGTTATAGCTGTGGGTGAGCGAGCCGTGCCAGCGAAAATTCTCCATAAGCCATGAGGCCCGGCCGTGCCTGTCTGTAACCCCATCTTGAAATCACGCTGAAATTTGTAGCCTGCGTACTGCCCCATAGGGACCGACGATACCGCAGATGTCGCATCGTCGGCAAGCTGACGCGCTAAATCGGCACCCTTTTGGGCCACCGACCGGAGCGCTGCGCCAAGCATACTTAATGCTGCATGTCACTGTCAGTGTAATGCAGTCTCCCAATTACTATCTACAAATACAGTTGTTCGACTCTGCGCGCAGCACCAACTAACCCTAGCTCTAGCCTGCAACAAAAGCAATCCACTAGTGAAACCTAACAACCTAGGATTTATGCAATACGAAACGACTTCCGACGGCCTGATCCTTGGCACCCCCTTGCAAGCTGCTGTACGGGTTCAAGCCAGCGAGCGTACGAAACAGTTCCTTGTAGCAGCAGCCAACGCCAGTGATGAAGTTCTCACAGTTTTCCAGTTTCTCACAAGCTGTCTCTTTCATAAGGGTATTCTCATGTGCAACAGTTGATACCCGACGGACGATAGCCGCTGGACAATTGTCGCTACCTTTAGCTTTTTCAAAAATGCAGGGCTTCCATATTATCGCCGCGTTGGCTGTATTGCTTGCTCCGGCTGTGGCCGCGGCAGGGCGAGACATAACGACCACTAAAATTCGTCCTTTCAACGACCCGGTCACAGACAAACACCGCGTCCTTATTGAGCTGTTTGTAATGTCACGTTGCCCTGACGCACGTCGAGCCGAGGCCCGGTTCGACGAAGTGTTACGTTCAGTGCATAGCATTGCCGACATCCGGACAGTATACATTGCAAACCAGGCACAGGACGGCGGCATCGCTTGCATGCACGGTCCAGACGAATGCGCCGGCAACGTGCAGCAGCTGTGTGCTGCCAAGTACGGCAGGCAAGGCGTCCAGGCAGGCACCGACCCCTTCTCCCTGGGCTGGTCCTTCATCATGTGCCAGAACGCCAACTTCACCGATGTGGGGTCGCCGGCTCTTGCGGAGGCATGCCTGCAGGTCTGCAAGGGGCTACAATGGTGCCGCACACCATACCAGGATGCCGTACAGTCCCTGCTCCTACTTGCATAGGCCTCACTCGTCACACATCCCGCCTACCACGACCCTCACCCACATCTCCCCGGGCTTGGCTAATTCGGGCGGGGGGATGGGCAATCTACCATGTTGTTGCAAACCATGATGAAGCCTCCTCATACACTTCGTTAGCTGCTTCCTCCTTACCCCACCTCCCACCCTCCGCCCTCTCTCCTCCCGCTCCCTTTCGCCCTGGCAGTCCGCGCGTTTCCCGCCCGCCCAGGCCGCCCGGGTGCGCGCCTGCTGGTCGGGCCCCGAGGGCGGGCGGCTGCTGGCTGCCTCCGCGGGGGAGGCGCTGCGGCGGCGCGTGCACACCAGCTGCACGGTGTTTGTCGGGGGGGACTACCGCTGCACGCAGGACGGGGGGCAGTGGTGGGTGTATGCTTGTGGAGAGAAACGGGCCTAGGGAGTGGGGGAGTTTTACAGGGGTTGAAAGGAACGAGGTTGAGGAGGCAAGATGGGGTTGAAGAGAGTGGTGCTCGGGCGTGCGGGTGGTAGGGGCAGAGGGATTTGGGGTAGTGGAAGCGCGTGTAGTGTTTGCAGTGACACACGCATGTCGCACCCAATGGGGAGGCCCTTTCAGCCGGTGCACTTGTGTCACCTACCACCACCTTCCCCTTGCTCCTCGCTCTCGGCGGTTGCGATCCTCCATCCCCCCGTAAGCACATGGGGGTGGTACGCTTCACGGACTCCAGCCACTCCAGACCCCAATCCACGATACGTTTCTCACTGCTCTCCTTATCCACCCCACCATCATAACGAACCTGCATAACCTCCGTCCCCTGACCTCCGTCCCCTGACCTCCTTCCCATAACCTCCTTCCTACGCTGCCCCTGCGCCCCTGCTGCCGCTGGGTTTGCTGTCCCTGCCTGCCTGTCTGCAGGCGGGACTGCCCGGGCGGCTCCCAGGTGGCCGACTTCATTGCCAGCGTGTGCGGCAGCTACCGGGCCGAGGCGGGGCGCTGGCCGGAGGGGGCGTGCGGGGCGGAGCCGAGGGAGGAGGGGGAGGGGGAGGAAGGAGGAGGAGAGGAGGAAGGCGGTCGATGAAGGAGCGGCAATCATGTGGAGGATGAGGAGGGCCCTGTGAGCTGGGCTGGATGATGGTGCATGGTGACTACCGGAGGAGTCGAGGGGTTGTGGGGCGGGGCGGGTTGCAGGAGGTTCGGGATTCGGGATGCGGTCAAGGGCTGCCATTTGTGATAGCTGGACAGGGGAGTGGGCGGGGCTACGAGGGCGGGTGCAGGAGCGGCAGCAGCAGGAGGGGCAGCGGGAGGGGCGGCATGCGCGGTTGAAGTCGTCGTCGTGTTGCTGGTTGTGGGGTTGCAGGCAGCATGAGCTTTCAGGGGTTAAACCTGGCGTTGGTTTTGGCTGATGCGGTCGGCTGGGTAGGAGGTGCGCGGGGGCCCTGCCTAGGCCTATCCGCTGTCCCCTGAAAGCCGTCAGCTATGGATTGAAGTATATTTGTATGATGCACGTGTAACTGATACAACCTTACGTGCCCAGTGGGTCATACCTACCACGTCCACTGTACTGGGCACAGGTCCACAGACAATGTGCAGTGAGGATGCGGAGGTTACACTGGGGCATATGGTCTGGCCCAAATAACCTAACCTAAAGCTGCTTATATCTATACTGTTATGAAGTCCGAGGTAGTCGTGATAGTCGGGTGCAAGCGATTACGATTACGATTGCATGGTACGGTGTAGGGCCCTCCCGCCCTACCGCACAACCTCACGATGACCAATCCGGTCAAGAGGTGTGCGCGGCTGCTTGTCACAGGCAGTGCAACCTCGAAATGTTGATGTACGAGTATTGAACTCTGTAACAAGGCCAAATCGCATTTTCTTGGGACGAGCGTCACTAGTGATGATGCCCATGAACTTGAGAGACCGTCCGCATTGCTGAACGTGGTTGTGTTACTGGCCCCTTTGTTGCTGTGGCTTTTCAGGAGTTGTGTTGGCCCCTGTCGTACGTGTCGTGCTTTTGCCAGACCCTGCTGCTGTGCTGTGCCGTGCGGGCTTCACCTGCTGCAGCAGCAGCGCTGCGCAGGGTAACCCAAGCTGCCCACGCAGACATAGCATCAGCAACTGCCTTTACATCGTCAGCTGATAGGTTGCTAGCCCCCGATAGTGCTGCGTGGATGGTCACGAGCGGCGTCGAAACGATACCAGCTAAAGCCAGCACCTCACCGCTGTGGGGAGGCATCGGCGGTGGTGCAGCTGAAGACGCAGCTGGCATACGCAAAGCCGCCGGCGCTCTGTAGCGGTCTTTGGACTCGACAAGAGACCGCAAGGCTTCAGTCTCCCTCCGTCCAGCAGCAAGCGTGGCTGACATACATTCCGTGGGTGGCCGGTCTGCTGTGAATGATCTGCGGATGGTAGCCTTGAGCGAATCAACTGATAGGCGAGAGGCAACCTCTCGAACCACCTCCTCCACAGGCCTGCTTTCAGCTGCTGTTTGGCTGGAGCCCTGTCTCTGTTGGCTCTATACCCTCGTCTTGCAAGCTGTTGGACGCTGGGGTTGAGGTACCATGCCACTGCTTGTATACGTCTGCCGCAACAGAGTGCCCGCAGGCGTTATGTTCCGCAAACATATGGCAAGTGCAGCTGAACACTCCGGCACGGACGGAGACAACAGCACGTACTGGGCACGGAATACGTTTACGTTTCTGAGTTTCAGGCACCAACTGCATAGCTGCTGGCAAAACATCCTCGCATGAAGTGAAGGACTTGAATACGGATGCCTCTGATGAGAAGGATGGGGCTGGGTCGGATGCAGGCACAGCGTATGCACCTGTTACTGCTAAGTCCTGCTCGGCTGCTGCCTGATGCCCTAGGTTTTGCCGTGGCCCTTGGAGGGGGCTCAAGGGTAGGGCTAGAGGTATGTGCGGGAGGGGGGTCCGGAATTGCGATTTCAGGTAAGCACATATTCGGAAAGTATCATAACCGCCGCTGCCACCTGACCCGAGAGCAGCGCGAAGGAATGCATCGGCTTCATCGTCGGAGTGTTCAGCTACTAGGAGACCTACACTAACATCTGAATCACTCAAAGGACAATTGCTTATGTTAAGCCTTGCGCTGGGTCGATTGCGAGGTAAATACCAAATGGGCTGCACTTAGATAGAAATATATGGCATAAATAATTGCTTTCATTTTAAGATGTTTCATAGCACGCTTCTGAGCACAGCGAGCGCAGCACGCGCCCAGGAGGCCCGTACGACCTAAGACTCCCGACGGGGTAAAGAACCTAACTAGGCACTCTTCGAACTAAAAAGCATAGAAGCGGGAAATTGAGGGCACGCCTCCGTCACGAACGCGTTTGTGATCTTGTTTACGTCCAGCCTGGGCAGCCTGGGTAGCCTGGGCAAATACATAGCAGTACCGGTATAATATGGACAGTAGCGGACACCTAAACCTGGTTTCTCTTGCTTTTTTCCTATGCCTCTTGGCTTGCGGCGGTCGCGTCCTTTCCGAAGGTTCTAAATTGCCGCCACCGCTAATATCTGAGTTTGATGCCGTCTCATCCTCTCAGAGACAGGCATGGCTAGATATTTGGAATACACATGCGTGGAACATGCTTCGCGCGTTGCAAGACGCTCGGGGAAACGGCCAACTTCACATCTACATGAACGGCGACAGGTGTGCGTGTTCCTGGACAAACTGCAACAGCAAACTAGCATACGCTAGTATATATATGCTTACCACACTTCTTTTGTAGTTGGTCTGTTAGTCCCTTGCTGTGTGCGGCTACACAGCGCCTTGCTGGGTAGTTAAAGATGTGTACGGGCGTGCTTGAGCTCTTTTCTTCCCACATATAGTTATTGCTGTTCGTCCTGGGAGGTATGGCCCGGCCTGTGAAAGAGAGAAGCCGTGCATTAAGCCCTCCCCACGCCATGGAAAGTCCGACACGGGGGCCCGTCCATAGCTCTATCTCCTGGGTGCAAGTTGCCTTGACGCTCACGTACATCCCTCGTCCTTGCCCGTGAACCCTCCGCATTGGATATCTTCAGCACATTCCGGCAGCAGAAAAACTTCCTATGCAACGTTCTTCAACCGGGCTTCACGGGGGGGAAATGGCCTCTTGGTAAGGCTTTTCTTGTTCCTTGTAGGAGATGACGTAGAAGCACAAGTTTGTCAACGCAGCTGCTATTCACCTTGCATGCCGCACCATCCTTCACGCACTTGTCATCCTCTCATGGCCGCGTTCTCCTCGCCTAACTACCGTCATGCCAACGGCAATGTCACGCCGTCCTGCAGACTATAAGGTACTTAACAATCAACACGAGAGCAGCTGCTACAACAGTGAATTGAAAATCCGCGTCACGTACGTCAACAACAGCTGCTGTGATACGGAACGCCTAGCCTACCTGCTGCACCGCGATACAGACCCAGCGGGCAAGGAAAACCCGCCAGCTTGGAAGCCACGAACCATGGGCCAGTCGGGCATGCTACGGGATCCGGCGATGGCTGAGACCAATGCAGGGACGCAGGATTTGGAGGCTGAGGCGGCAGACGTTGAAGCGGACACCGAAATGCGGCTTGTGGTCTACCTCGGTTGCGGGTACGGTATCCTTTAAACGGTGTCGTTTCCGCAATCAACGCAAAGATTGCTAGTGGGTTGCTGGGATTGCTAGAGGGTTGCTAGGAGGGCTGACGGGCTGTGGTGAATGCTGGAGCGAGACCGCATTGCTGCTATGCACCCAGCTCGTGCACGTGTATGCCGGTGGATGCCAGGCCGACCTACGCCCACCCCCTGACTTGGGTCCTCCTGCTCGCCACCATCCAGGCTTCACCTGATGCATCTGGGTCGTGCTCGGCCCTTCGAGTGTTTGCAGCAGCAATACGGATACGTGGAGACCATACAGGAATTCGCACAGGCAGCGGCACGGGTGAGTGCCCTCGCTACCGTTTGTCCAGGGGGTTGCAGGAGGGCTGCGCCTAGGCCAGCAGTGGCCAGCAGGCTCGCTGGCGCACAGCAGCTCCCGTGCTGATCCCTGGCCCCCCACCCGCACGATCTGCGGGATTCGGGATTGGGATTGCGTTGTTGCATTTATTTATAATTTCCACCCGCACGATCTGCCTGCTCGCCCGCAGCTGTACCCGGGGTCCCTGCAGATGTTCATGACCACCAACAACGTCTGCGAATCCAACTTCGGGGTAAGCACATGGTGAGGGGTGCTTGAAACCCCGCTATGATGCGCTGATCGAGGGTGTCATGTGTTGGATGGGTATGCGTTTACCTAGCAGAGCGCCCGCATGTGCAGGCTGGCCCACATGCTCCCACATCACACCTGCCATGCAAGCAAACAGTTGCCTTTCACTTATCTGTCCGTTCCTTTTCACCCCTCTCTTTCCACACCCATACCGGTATATGGAATGCCCGGCCCCGTCCGTTCTTCCCACGACCCGCCAGAGTCCCTATAGCGATGTCCTCAAAGAGGCTGCCGCCGACCCCCAAGGTTTCTTGCGACAATGCGTGGAGATCGCCAACATGACCACCGGGCCGCTGCAAGGCAACATCCCCGCCCTAACCCAGGCCTGCCGAGAAGGCATTCTCATGAGTCACGGCGCAGCAAGCCTTCGGAGACGCATGCTCCTGGCGTTGAAGCAGGAGAATGAGCGAAGGGGCCGCGAGGACCATGTTGGTCTGGTGGATGCGTATGCGCTGACCGAGGGGCAGTGCTGGGCTAGCCAATGGTCCGACGGCCGGCACTACGCCTTCGTGGTGCCCATGGTGGTCATGGAGATGATTGCCACGATGCATCGGCAGCTGCTGCAGACGCACTAGCGGAGCAGGATTACCCATCGTACCCCTGTTCATTGCATGTTTCCCAGTGATCGGTGCCTTTGCACCCAGGCCATTTAACCCCAACTTTGTGTTACCTGACAGGGACCGTTCCCAAAGTTTCAGCGCAAAAGGCAATGGTCGATTTTCCCAGGTGGTAAAACCGACCATTGGGGGGGCTTCAGGGCAGGGGTGGAGGCCCTCTGGAGTGCAAAGGACAGAAAACCAACCAGCCACTTCACCGACAGGTGGCCCATCCTCGTGTCCGCGAGATATATCCTGTGCACATACAAAGCAAACGTGCGGTTTGCTTGCCAAAGAAGGTTCTGGGGCATAAGGGCTGTGGCTTCTGTTGGCACTTGGTAGCCTGTGTGCAAGCAGCATGTAAGGATACTCATACAAACCTACAGGTAACCTCCCACGACACACATGAGGGTGAATGGCGTTGGCTACGGTATGCGCTAGCTGAAGCAAACGCATGGGGCATGCGGTAGGGGAATGCACTCCTGAATGGTTTGGGATGGGAAATTTTACACAGCACGGAGGCAAGAGCCTTACATAAAAAGAGGACGAGAAAGACATGTCTAAAGAGCTTATGAGCAGTACTTTGTGGTGCAAGTCGAGGAGAAGCTTGGAACCCTAAGCAATGTGTCGCACAAACGAAATTGTTGTATAAAAGTCCTAAACACTTCCTTGTAGTATATCTCAATAAATGGTATTAATGTAACAGTGTAAAAGCCAGGCTTTGCAAAAGATTCTGTGGAGGGTGGAGGGGCCTTATGTCGCGCGATATAGGCGAGGCCAGGGCAGGGTCGAAAAGGGGTCGTACGTTTGCGCACATAAAGAACCCAACTAGGCACTCTTCGAAATAAAAAGCATAGAAGCGGGACATTGAGGGCACGCCTCCGTCACGAACGCGAACGTGGCAGCAGTTGGTACGAATGACCTCCCGAGGATTTGCGCTAGCGTGCGACACTGCAACTGATGCGAAGGCTTGCACGAGCGGCATAGCTAACACTTTCGTGTCACAGCGTCCTTCCGCTCTACAAGCTGCAACTCACCCCTTAGCAGTGTTGCAATTTCGAAGACACGATGCGTGGATTGATGCAAGAGTCACCCCTGAATATCTGTCAAATCCTAGACCATGCCGCGAAATGGCATCCTGAACAGCTTGTCATCTCGCGAAGCGTGGAAGGTCCAGTCACATCCTATACATACGCGGACCTGCACCGCCGCGCCCGACTATGCGCCATTGCGCTAGGGCAGCTGGGCGTGCGGTAAGCAATGTGTGCTAGTCCCTGGTTGAAGGGTCTTGCAGAGTTCAACTGCTCTTGGTCCATCCGTGGCATGGCTCGTAGCCCATGCACGTTCGAGCTGCATTGCCCGCTTGGCCTGAGCAGCGAAATTACAACCAAAGATAAAACAGACAACCTCTAGCCCTCATAAACGTCTGTCGTCCTTGTATTTGGGCGCTGCGAGAGCCGGGCGTTGGTGTTGCGTTGACCGGTGGCTTCATACAACCTACCACACCGCGTGCAGCCTGAACGCAGAAGCCTAAGCAGTTGGGTCGCAGCCTAACCGTTGGGTCCCACCATCCAGCGCACGAAGCGTTGCCAGTAAATACTCAGTACTACTGCCGATCTATGCATTCTTTACCTTTCTAGGGCGCAAAGCTGCAATCAGCACTCCTGACATGCGCTACTGTGGCATTGCAACACCCTATGAAGCCATGACCACATACCCGCCTAACTCCTCCACGCGTTTCCCCATCGTGCCCCCACCTTCACCCCAAATACCAGTAGCATCGCGGCTTCTGCTCGCCCCTCTCCCCGCCCCACCCACTCCACCTCCCCATTCCACCCCCTTCCGCCCCCCCAGTCAGGGTTCCTTCGTAGCCACGTTGGCATGGAACACCAGTCGCCACATGGAGGCATGGTACGGCATCATGGGCTGCGGGGCGGTGTGCCACACACTCAACCCGCGCCTCTCCGCCAAGGATATCACCTACATCGCACATGACGCGCAGGTGCAGGCGGGAGGGGGGTGCGGGGTGCAGGCGGGTGAAGGGGAGTGAAGGGGAGGGTGTGCAGGCTCGGTGCGGCAGAGAGGAGTCCGTGAAGAGGAGGGTGCGCGGGCTGGCATGTGTGGGATGCGCCTGTTGTTATGCCCACCGCCTGAGGCATGAAGCCCGTCTCCTTGCCCGTGTAACCGCTGTTCGTGTCCTTGTGCCCATGCTTATGTGCTATGTGGGGCTATGCCTACCTCAGCCACCGGCTACAAGGCTCCTGTCCGCGGTTTGGGCTCGTGTCCGCGGTTCTGGCTGGTTGGGTGACCCCATCCTCAGGTCCACAACCTTCCATGCATTATGTGACCCCACCGCTACCGTGCGCTTTCCCCCACCCTCCTCGCCCCTACCACGACCCACGGGTCGGCCCCCCAGGACGAGCTGGTGCTGGCTGACGCCACCATGCTGCCGCTGCTGGGTCAGGTGCTGCCGGGAGTGCCCTCGGTGCGGGCGGTGGTGCTGCTGACGGACAGGTGGGGGGGAAGGGTTGGGGGGTCAGGGAGGAGGGTTTGTGGGGAGAGCATGTCGGGAGGTCATGGAGGAGCAGGTCACCTCACCACCCGCCTACCGTGAGGGGGGTAATGGCCGGCGGAGGCCGAGCAAATAAGGCGTCGGAGGGCATGTGGACCGGGAGTCAGGGGTCGGCAGTGCGGTTGGGGGGCACATGGTCGGGGAGGGGCAGTGGAGCAGCTGGCATAGCGCCGTGAGCTCATTCCACACGCTGCCTGCCTCCCATCGTGAATTGCGGAGTAGCGGCTCCATATACCGGTTACGATGAGCGGCATACGCAGCAATCCACCGCTGCTGTCCCCCTTACTGCCCTTCCTCTCCCCCTCCCCCCCCCTCCCAGGCTCAACATGCCTCCCCCCGAGGCGCTGTCCTCTCTGTCGGGCCCCGGCGGCACCCCCGTGCCGGTGCACTGCTACGAGGAGCTGCTGGGGGCGGCTGCGGGGCTGCCGGGGGCGCTGGCGGGCTTCAGGTGGGGGCGGGGTGTGTGTGTGCTGTTGTTGGGAGGGAGGGTTGGGGAGGGAGGGTTGGGGAGGGAGAGCGGCTGACCACCGAAGCCAGAAGTATCAAGAACTGCAGACAAGCCATGGTGTTAGGGCATTGAATGTGTTGGGGCAAGGCGAAGGCTGGAAGCAGCAAGGGGCAGCAGTACGCGACCACCAGTAGCCGTTGCCTCCGCACCGCTGACTAGGCTCCCTTGTCCGGCTGCCCCTCCCGGCCCCCTCCCGCCCCCGCCCCTGCCCCCAGGTGGGCGGTGGTGGATGAGAATGCGGCATGCGGCATGTGCTACACCAGCGGCACCACCGGCAACCCCAAGGTGAGGGGTGGTGGTGGTGAATGGGTGAGGAACGTGCGAGTGAAGCAGGAGTTAGGGTTGTGGTTGGAAGCTTGCGTCGGGATGGGTCGGGTTGGGTCGGGTGGCCTCCCAGCTGCCCTAACCGCTAGAGAGGTGAAACCTGCGAATGGCGATGGGAGCACCAACTAACAGCCATGAATCCATGGCTCAGCCATGGCTCAGTTTATCTCATCCCTCTCTTGCCTGCCCCCTCTCCCCTCTCCTGCCTGCTGCCGCTCCCGCCTCCCCCCCCCTCCCCCCCCCCCCCCCTGCCCCCTCCAGGGAGTGCTCTACTCGCACCGCTCCAACTACCTGCACGCACTGCTGCTGCTCCAGGTGGGGGCGGGGCGCGGAGCGGGGCGCGGCGGGGCAGTGCGGGGGGGCCGCTGCTTGTCGGATTCCGCTTGCACTGCAATGCTGTCTCCTCGTGTCTCCCCGCTACTTCTGCACTACTACGGACTCCTTTGCACGCAGACCCCTTGCTTCCAGGTCCCCCGTGCCTCCCGCCCTCTTCCTCAATTCCCAATCGCTCGTGCCTTCAACCCTCCCCCTCCCCCTCCCTTCCCCCTTTAGGATAGTGTCTCCGAATGCGCTCACTGCATGAGTCGGGATATGGGATTGGGGCTCGTTGTTTCACTTATTTAATGGTTTCCCCTCCCCCCCTCCCCCTCCCTACCAGTCCGACAGCCTGCCGCTGTCCAGCAGCTCCTGCTGTCTGGCGGTGGTGCCCATGTTCCACGCCAACTCCTGGGGGCTGGTGTTCGCAGCGCCCATGGTGGGGGCGCGGCTGGTGTTGCCGGGTGGGTGGGTGGGGAAGGGGGAGGGGTGCGGGGAGGCGGGGAGGCGACAGGACGGGGGCGGGGTGTAAGACAGTACCGAATTGGACCCCCGTACCAGCGGGATCCTAAACCCCCCCGCCTCCCCCCCCAGGTCCCCACCTGGACGGCCCCTCCATCTACTCCCTCATGGAGGCCCACCGCGTGACGGTGTCCGCCGGGGTACCCACCGTGTGGCTGGCGCTGCTGGCGCACTGCGAGGCGGCGGGGCTGCGATTCAGCAGCCTGCGCATGGCGGTGATTGGGGGGGCGGCGGCGCCGCTGGCCATGGTGGAGGCGTTTGAGCTCAAGTGGGTGCGGGGGATGCGGGGTAGGAGAGAGGAGTAGAAAGCAGAAGGTGGATCTTCTTAGGGTGGCGCCTCTTTTACCACCGCCGCCTTCTTCCTCCTCCTGCCTCACCCCCCGCCCAGGCACGGTGTGGAGGTGCGTCACCTGTGGGGCATGACGGAGCTCTCACCGCTCGGCACCCTGGGGGACCCCAAGGCCGCATCGCTGGGCGGCCGCACCCGACCGCGGGAAGGACTGTCAGCAGCCGCCGCAGCTGCAACCCCCCCAGCCGCCGCCACTGCCGCCGCCTCCTACCGCACCGCCTACCTGGCTACCAAGCTGAAGCAGGGGCGCCCGCACGTGCTGTGTGACATGCGCATTGTGGACGATGCGGGGCGGGAGCTGCCGCATGACGGCCAGGCGGTGGGGCACCTGCAGGTGGGGGCAGTGACCCGTGGGTCGCGGGCGGGCGCGACATGGGAATTTCCGAAGTCCAAACCTAGAGAAGCCGTTGCAGAGGGGGGGCTGATGTGCAGAGTAAAGAAGGAGATGGCCTGATTGTTGTGCATGGTGTGTGGAATGTTGTGCACGGATGTCTACCCTGCCTTGCAGTGTGCCCTGCTGTGCTGTGCCATGCCTCCCCTGCCACCATGCGCCCCTGTTCGTCAGTTTTCCTTATTTTCACCCCCCCCCCTGCGCCCCTGCGCCCAGGTCCGCGGCCCCGCGGTGGTGTCCCGCTACTTCAAGGCGCCGCAGCCTGCAGTGGACTCCGAGGGCTGGTTCGCGACGGGCGATGTGGCGTCCATCGACCCGTGGGGCTACATGAGCATCACAGACCGCTCCAAGGACGTGATAAAGAGCGGTAAGCAGCAGCAGCTGATAGGGGGGGGGACGTCAAGTTTTGGACCAATTGAAACTATATAAAAGCAAAAAAGGCAGGGATTCAAAAGGCAGAGGGAGGGTAGGTAAGTGGCCCCTACCGAAACCGCGTCCGTCTTGGTGATGTAAAGTTAAGCGGCCATCGTAGGGGGGGGTGAGGCACATGAGGAGGGCGTTGGTCTGAGGTGGATGGCGTACGGAGGTATGTTGACATGATTGACGGGTTGTGTGCATGGGCGTTGCCATCGTGTTGCTAGAGGGACGATTGGAGGGGTGTGGATGTAGCAATTGCTTTGCTGGTTGTATTGCGTACTTGTACCCGTAGCGAGGTGGTATGGTTTGTGTTAAGAAAACTGGTCGCGACTCGGAACGCACGTATGGTTGGTGTGCTGGCACGCATGTATGCACTCACTCAACCCCGCCCGGCCGCCCACCCGCAGGTGGAGAGTGGATCAGCAGCATTGAGATTGAGAACCTGGCCATGGTGGGGTGGGCGGGTGTGTTCGGGGGGTCCATGGAGGCAGTGCGGCGCGCGTGCGGCATACCCGCCACTTGGTGTGCTGGCCCTCACTTCTCAGCGTTCCCTGCGTTTGCTTACTCGCGTTACGGTACGCAACCGACCTTCGCAGATCCTTTGTTGCCGACCTGCCACTACATGCACCTAATCCTCTTATAGCTGCTGCAGCATACCCCTCACCTCGTGTGTGTTCCTTATCTTCCTCCCCCCTGCCGTACATACCCCCACCCCGCGCATTCCCCTCCCCCAGGGTCACCCGGGTGTGGCTGAGGCGGCGGTGGTGGCCATCCCTGACGAGCGCTGGGGCGAGCGGCCGCTGCTGGTGGTGGTGCCGCGACCCGGGGTGGAGCCGGACGCGGCGCTGCGGGAGGGGCTGCTGGGATTCCTGGCGAGCAAGCTGGCCAAGTGAGGGAGCAGGGAGCGGGGGAGCGGGGGGGAGGGAGTGGTGCCTGTAGCGATGAGGAGGGATGAGGGAAGGGTTGGAAGGGGTTGAGGGGGGTAGCATCCCCAGCAAGCTTGGACCGTTGTGTGCTCTATGGCTCTATGGCTCTTCCTCCTCTCATGTCTCAGAAAACCATATCTACACTGTCGTCTTCCTCCGTTCTCTCCTGCTGTCGGCCACCTCTCCACCCACGCCCCTCCCCCGCCCCCCTCTCCCCTCTCAGTTGCTTCACTTCTAATTATTCCCCCCACCACACATTGGAATTTCTTCCCCCCCCTCCAGGTTCGCGGTGCCCGATGACGTGGTGTTCGTGCCGCAGATCCCGCACAACGCCACGGGCAAGGTGTCCAAGCGCACGCTGAGGGACGTCTTCCAGGCGCACAAGCCCCCGCCGCGGGCTAGGCTGTAATGAAGGGTGCCTTAGCCGTACCTGTGGGGGCCGTACCTCTGCGGTGCCGGTTTCCACGCCGAAGGATTCGAGGGCAGGTGCTGTGATGCAGGAAGGCGCCTCAAGGGCGGTAGTGCATTGCAGAGGTGGGAAGAAAGAGGCGCATGGCTATTGGCAGTGGTAGTGTGTCAAGGTAATTGCCCGCAAGATGTAGTGTGTATGTGTGACAGGTGCACGGCGTTGTACCGAGGCTGTGGGTGCCTTCAGCTCTCGCATGGTTTGATGGTGGACAGGAACGTGTCCGGTGTGGCATCATTGCCTGGGTGTTGTAATCTTGCCAGTCCGTTTAACTATAGATTATGCTCATCGTTACCCTGTCGTAACGCCAAAAACAGTTCTGCATGGTGCCTTTCTTAGGCTTGAAGATGTTCATGCAAAAGGCCGAAGCGATAGTTGCTAAGCTCGACGCCCGTTTCAAGTGCATGCGTTGTTGTTTCGCTAGGGACGAACCAAACGTTGCATTGCTTGACTACCATTTAATGTAAATGGCTTGCAAGCGTTGTCGATCATTATAGCAAGATCGCAATCGCGACTTGTCGTCCCGGATTCCCCGTGCGACCCCTGATTGCTCTAGTACAAACACATGGAAGGTGCTATCTTGCTTGTTGTTCTGTCACAATCCCCATGACGCTACTGCTGCTTCCGCCGTACGCATTTTTACATGCTTTCTGTAAAAGGTACCGAACTGCTTTTGCGCGTTCCTCTTATTCCTTACAATTAAACAACATCATCATGCTGGTATTATTGTTGGACTTTGCCGTCCTCTGGACAGGTGCCCCGTTGCTGGCAACCACGTCGCTACCGGTACTGGAGACATACGAAATTGTAAGTGCGCAAGATATGCTTCATGCTTCTGCTGTATGATGGGATTGCGCGCTCGTCGTTTTGCAATGCTTCCATGGCGGTCAAGAAACCATGTCTCGCGCGCCATGCCTTGCAGGCCTATAGCGGCTCCGTATCAAGTTATTGTCAGCTTCCTTGTGCGGATGCCCATGCCTAAGGTGAGCGTTCCCGTATAGGATGGACGGTTCCTGTTACCTGTTGCTCTTTCCAGCTGCGCCTGGTAGAGCACAGCGCCTCTAGCAAACTATGTCTTAGGTCTGTTAAATACGTAAATTTGCTGTTCGGATTTATAGAGAGGATTGTCATGGTACCGGTAGTGCCGACGTTAACTCATGGATGTCAACGGTGTTACGTTCGCGCCCCTTTCCTGCTTTCTACCACAGAGGTGAGGCCACCCGCAAGATACATTCCCCCGTTCGCCAGAGCCGCCCAGCCCCGCACCGCCATCTCCGCTCCCGCCTAGCGTGCCGCTCCCGCCTAGCGTGCCATGCGAGACGCCATGTCGTGCTACCTCCGGTGGGTGAGGGTGACCTTGCTAGTGGTGCGCATGTTGCAGTGAGATGGCAGGCGTGTCGGTGGCACATGTCGTTCCCCCTCCCGAGAGTTGGATGACGCTTGGCTGCACCCGAGATACCTCAGCGGCAGCCAGTGCCACCCAGTCAGCGGCAGCCAGTGCCCCCCAGTCAGCCCAGATGTCAGCAGTTCCAGCAGCCAGATCATCAGCAGCAGCAGTTTCAGCAGCAGTAGTAGCAGTACATAGATCAGCCCAGCAGCAGTAGGGGCAGCTGAGTCGACAGCTTTCTTTCCGGGGGACGCACGTGTCTTGCTTAACTTCCTTTTCCGTGCTGGTGCTTCCTTACGTGTAGCATAGTCTAACCCAACGCTCCCAATGCCTCTCCCACTCCTTTGTGCGCATGTACCTCTTTGCGAGACGCGGGGAGCGAGGCCATGTCATGCTACCTCTTGAGTACCTCGTGCTACCTCCGAGCAGGTGTGTACAACCCCGCGCTTGGAAGGTAGGCCCTGGCGTGTCAGGGATCATGTGCATGCATGTGGGGGCATTTAGCTGCATCGTACTAGGCATGTTGCCTGGGCATTGAGCATTCATTGGAGGGCCTACCGGTGGCGGGCTCGCACCTGCTTTTCCTGCTGATCCTTTCTTCCCCCCTTCCTTGCTCCTTCTCCCCCCCTCCGCAGTTCTGCGGGGCCGGCACAAGGATCGACGACGGCCAGCGGCGTGCGGAGCCAGCCGCCGCTGCCGTACCGCTGCTATTCGCCAGTACGGCCCCCACACGCATCCATTTCGCCTAGCGAATAAAGGTGAGTTTCACACGGCTACAACGTCTCACACGCGTGCCTGCCCTGTTGGTTGTTCTGCACCCACAACTACCTCCAACTATCTCCAATAGTTTTGCCCAAGCAGCCGGCCTAGTGGGCATGCCGCATGCATCGCCTGGCCACCGGTGCATGTGGCGTGTCTATTAGGCCGGCTGCGTCGGGACGGCATGTTGCTCTGAGGGCCCGTTGCATGGGGCTGGAGTGTCTCCGGCTAGCTCGCTGCCTGCTTCTAAATGTGCATTGCCTTTGTGTCCCATCCGTTCTCTCATCGCCACCAACCCATTCCCTCCCCCCCCCTCCTTGCCCCCCCCCCTCGATCTCCGCATGAGCCTCCGATCCTGGCTCCTGCGCTTCGTCCGAGTATATCCTCGGCATCAGACCCTTGCGGCGAACGCCAGCAGTACCAGAGTCACAACGAACGGTACGGCCTGCTGCTTACAGTTGCCCTTGACGCCGCTGTAGAATAACTCGATATAGTCCCCTTTCCTCTCAAGTTGGTGCTGATCCAAATCATTCATTTGCTTTCTGTGCAGGCGCGACGCAAGATGTGCGACGGCGAGCATGTCCCAAGGGTAAAACAGGCATGTTGCCTGGGCATTGAGCATTCATTGGAGGGCCTACCGGTGGCAGGCTCGCACCAGCTTTTCCTGCTGATCCTTTCTTCCCCCCTTCCTTGCTCCTTCTCCCCCCCTCCGCAGTTCTGCGGGGCCGGCACAAGGATCGGCGACGGCCTCCGACGCAGGAGCAGGGCGCCAGCGGCGCACGGACATCGTTGGGCCCCTCCAAGGCATGGGCGGAGCAGGTAAGTGTGCACAACCCCGCGCTTGGAAGGTAGGCCCTGGCGTGTCAGGGATCATGTGCATGCATGTGGGGGCATTTACCTGCATCGTACTAGGCATGTTGCCTGGGCATTGAGCATTCATTGGAGGGCCTACCGGTGGCGGGCTCGCACCTGCTTTTCCTGCTGATCCTTTCTTCCCCCCTTCCTTGCTCCTTCTCCCCCCCTCCGCAGTTCTGCGGGGCCGGCACAAGGATCGACGACGGCCAGCGGCGTGCGGAGCCAGCCGCCGCTGCCGTACCGCTGCTATTCGCCAGTACGGCCCCCACACGCATCCATTTCGCCTAGCGAATAAAGGTGAGTTTCACACGGCTACAACGTCTCACACGCGTGCCTGCCCTGTTGGTTGTTCTGCACCCACAACTACCTCCAACTATCTCCAATAGTTTTGCCCAAGCAGCCGGCCTAGTGGGCATGCCGCATGCATCGCCTGGCCACCGGTGCATGTGGCGTGTCTATTAGGCCGGCTGCGTCGGGACGGCATGTTGCTCTGAGGGCCCGTTGCATGGGGCTGGAGTGTCTCCGGCTAGCTCGCTGCCTGCTTCTAAATGTGCATTGCCTTTGTGTCCCATCCGTTCTCTCATCGCCACCAACCCATTCCCTCCCCCCCCCTCCTTGCCCCCCCCCCTCGATCTCCGCATGAGCCTCCGATCCTGGCTCCTGCGCTTCGTCCGAGTATATCCTCGGCATCAGACCCTTGCGGCGAACGCCAGCAGTACCAGAGTCACAACGAACGGTACGGCCTGCTGCTTACAGTTGCCCTTGACGCCGCTGTAGAATAACTCGATATAGTCCCCTTTCCTCTCAAGTTGGTGCTGATCCAAATCATTCATTTGCTTTCTGTGCAGGCGCGACGCAAGATGTGCGACGGCGAGCATGTCCCAAGGGTAAAACAGGCATGTTGCCTGGGCATTGAGCATTCATTGGAGGGCCTACCGGTGGCAGGCTCGCACCAGCTTTTCCTGCTGATCCTTTCTTCCCCCCTTCCTTGCTCCTTCTCCCCCCCTCCGCAGTTCTGCGGGGCCGGCACAAGGATCGGCGACGGCCTCCGACGCAGGAGCAGGGCGCCAGCGGCGCACGGACATCGTTGGGCCCCTCCAAGGCATGGGCGGAGCAGGTAAGTGTGCACAACCCCGCGCTTGGAAGGTAGGCCCTGGCGTGTCAGGGATCATGTGCATGCATGTGGGGGCATTTACCTGCATCGTACTAGGCATGTTGCCTGGGCATTGAGCATTCATTGGAGGGCCTACCGGTGGCGGGCTCGCACCTGCTTTTCCTGCTGATCCTTTCTTCCCCCCTTCCTTGCTCCTTCTCCCCCCCTCCGCAGTTCTGCGGGGCCGGCACAAGGATCGACGACGGCCAGCGGCGTGCGGAGCCAGCCGCCGCTGCCGTACCGCTGCTATTCGCCAGTACGGCCCCCACACGCATCCATTTCGCCTAGCGAATAAAGGTGAGTTTCACACGGCTACAACGTCTCACACGCGTGCCTGCCCTGTTGGTTGTTCTGCACCCACAACTACCTCCAACTATCTCCAATAGTTTTGCCCAAGCAGCCGGCCTAGTGGGCATGCCGCATGCATCGCCTGGCCACCGGTGCATGTGGCGTGTCTATTAGGCCGGCTGCGTCGGGACGGCATGTTGCTCTGAGGGCCCGTTGCATGGGGCTGGAGTGTCTCCGGCTAGCTCGCTGCCTGCTTCTAAATGTGCATTGCCTTTGTGTCCCATCCGTTCTCTCATCGCCACCAACCCATTCCCTCCCCCCCCCTCCTTGCCCCCCCCCCTCGATCTCCGCATGAGCCTCCGATCCTGGCTCCTGCGCTTCGTCCGAGTATATCCTCGGCATCAGACCCTTGCGGCGAACGCCAGCAGTACCAGAGTCACAACGAACGGTACGGCCTGCTGCTTACAGTTGCCCTTGACGCCGCTGTAGAATAACTCGATATAGTCCCCTTTCCTCTCAAGTTGGTGCTGATCCAAATCATTCATTTGCTTTCTGTGCAGGCGCGACGCAAGATGTGCGACGGCGAGCATGTCCCAAGGGTAAAACAGGCATGTTGCCTGGGCATTGAGCATTCATTGGAGGGCCTACCGGTGGCAGGCTCGCACCAGCTTTTCCTGCTGATCCTTTCTTCCCCCCTTCCTTGCTCCTTCTCCCCCCCTCCGCAGTTCTGCGGGGCCGGCACAAGGATCGGCGACGGCCTCCGACGCAGGAGCAGGGCGCCAGCGGCGCACGGACATCGTTGGGCCCCTCCAAGGCATGGGCGGAGCAGGTAAGTGTGTACAACCCCGCGCTTGGAAGGTAGGTCCTGGCGTGTCAGGGATCATGTGCATGCATGTGGGGGCATTTAGCTGCATCGTACTAGGCATGTCGCCTGGGCATTGAGCATTCATTGGAGGGCCTACCGGTGGCGGGCTCGCACCTGCTTTTCCTGCTGATCCTTTCTTCCCCCCTTCCTTGCTCCTTCTCCCCCCCTCCGCAGTTCTGCGGGGCCGGCACAAGGATCGACGACGGCCAGCGGCGTGCGGAGCCAGCCGCCGCTGCCGTACCGCTGCTATTCGCCAGTACGGCCCCCACACGCATCCATTTCGCCTAGCGAATAAAGGTGAGTTTCACACGGCTACAACGTCTCACACGCGTGCCTGCCCTGTTGGTTGTTCTGCACCCACAACTACCTCCAACTATCTCCAATAGTTTTGCCCAAGCAGCCGGCCTAGTGGGCATGCCGCATGCATCGCCTGGCCACCGGTGCATGTGGCGTGTCTATTAGGCCGGCTGCGTCGGGACGGCATGTTGCTCTGAGGGCCCGTTGCATGGGGCTGGAGTGTCTCCGGCTAGCTCGCTGCCTGCTTCTAAATGTGCATTGCCTTTGTGTCCCATCCGTTCTCTCATCGCCACCAACCCATTCCCTCCCCCCCCCTCCTTGCCCCCCCCCCTCGATCTCCGCATGAGCCTCCGATCCTGGCTCCTGCGCTTCGTCCGAGTATATCCTCGGCATCAGACCCTTGCGGCGAACGCCAGCAGTACCAGAGTCACAACGAACGGTACGGCCTGCTGCTTACAGTTGCCCTTGACGCCGCTGTAGAATAACTCGATATAGTCCCCTTTCCTCTCAAGTTGGTGCTGATCCAAATCATTCATTTGCTTTCTGTGCAGGCGCGACGCAAGATGTGCGACGGCGAGCATGTCCCAAGGGTAAAACAGGCATGTTGCCTGGGCATTGAGCATTCATTGGAGGGCCTACCGGTGGCAGGCTCGCACCAGCTTTTCCTGCTGATCCTTTCTT